GGTTCTGTTAAAGGTTCAGATTTTCAATGTTTTGATGGAAACATTTTTCAGTGAATTTGTTGACATTATTTTTATTGATACTGATGAATCTTTACATATGTAGGCTGAATAAATTTTCAAAATAAATTTTTACTGATTAAATCTCGGTGTCATTATTTTAAATAAAACTAATTTACATATATGAAAATTAGTTTTTATTAATTAAACATTTACTTGTAATCAGAATCAAACCAAATTTTACTGCAGATAAAATAATCAATGTTCAATCAGCCCAAAGGCTTCGGTTTATAATTTACCAAATAATAATAATAATAATAATAATCTCCTCACTGGTTGCTATGGTTACCGCGGCTCCTTCTCCGAAGCTCAGCTTATAGTTTCCAGATGAAAGAGACACACAGTGAATCGGAGCTGAACGTGAAAGTTACATCTACTGGTTATTAACTTTATGTTTTATATGTGAAGCTCAAACTATAAATAATCTCGGGTCGTATTTAACATTCATTTTCCTGCAAGAACAGCAGCAAATTGAACTGAGTTGTTTTTAAGTGAAGATTTTTCACTAGTTTTATTTTGTGTCATGTAAAGTTTGATTAAAGAATAAACTATAACAATAAAGTTTTAATTAAAATGCTGCTACTTACGTGAATCTATGGTGAGTTTTGTTCCTGAACCAAAAATGATTTTAACTCCAGACACACCGAGACGAACATGGTGACAGAAACCGATTTACAGCCAAACCTCCAAGAAACCGAAACACATTTATGTTCGATTATTTATGGAAATATTAGAATCAGCTGAGAGAAAAATACTGCAACAGATTTTTAATAAAATGTTTGTTTATCCTTCTGAATTAAAATAAGACACAGAATCACATCGTCTGCATGTTGTGAAACTTTTCCAACATTTTTCTGATAATCAGATTTTAAACTCATCTGCAGAGTTGGATTAATATCTGGAGACGTTTTTATTCTAACATCGTTGCTGATGGATACTCACTGCTTTCTGCTCTCAGACTGATTCCATCTCCAAAAACCAGTTTCCAGTTTCCAGACGAAGTCACACAGTCAGCGTGACGGAAACAATAACCGATAATCAGACGATTGATCAGAGGAGAGCGACGACGAGTCAAAGAAAACCGACGAGTCAAAGAAAACCGACTGAATCTCAAACATGTGGGGCCGAAACAATAAATTTTACTAAAATAACATCGAAACGTTACTTTGGGTTCTGACCCGATGCCACACGGATCAAATGTTTGGTTTTAAGGTTTTTATCATGTGAAATTATTCAGGGACGTTTTGACCAGATGAATTTTTACTCACGATGTTCAACTGTCAACTTTGTTCCTTCACCAAAAATCATTTTCCTGTTTCCAGATCCAGACACACAGCGTGGCGGCTCTGAACAAGAACCAGCAGAACCAGCAGAACCAAACAGAACCAACAGAACCAAACAGAACCAGCAGAACCAACAGAACCAGCAGAACCAACAGAACCAGCAGAACTAAACAGAACCAGAGGTTGCCATGGGGATTATTTAACATATTTTCCATGGGATTATTCAGTAATCTGAAGATTTGTTTACCCAGATTAAATATTAAATTGTTTTTCTGTGATTAGTTGTGAAAAATCAAAATGTAAAAAATAAAAATTTACAGTGAGAAGATTTAATGTTCCTTCATGTCAACGTGGTCCAGATCAGGTTTATTGATCTGGATATTAACATCAAACTCACGTTTCTGAACCATCAGCCGCGATCCGGGTCCAAATAAAACCTTATAGTTTCCAGTCACACAGAGAATCGGTTCCTGACGAGAACTGCAGGAGACCAGACCCAGACCCAGAACCGGACCAAGTCCAACAACATGCTGAAATATGATTTACAGTGAAGACACGTATCTATACAAGAGTCACGTTTTATTTCAGACTAATTAACTTTTATTTCAGTTTTTAGTGCTTATGATGAAAAATTTGGGATTTTAATTTTTTTATGTCCTTTGGAGACATGAAGATTTTTCAGCAGGTTCCTGGGGAACGGTTCTGATTCTGACCCGATGAAACATGTTCAAGTTTCAATGCAGCAGGTTGATGAAGATGTTTAATCACAAAACGATCCAGAATATAAGTTATAAATAACATTAATAATATTCATTAACAGGTTTAGTATGAAACAAACAGCTGAACTCACTGAGCTGGACAAACTGTTTGGTTCCGGTACCAAAGACGAGTCGGGTTGCAGAAAGAGACACACTGTGACAAACACAACATCCAGAACCAGAACCACAACCAGGACCAGGACCAGGACCAGCAGAACAACCACTGGGCCCGTTTAGCCCTCCAGTCAGAATCTATTTAATAATAAACATTTTATCTGATAAAGTCATCGATGAACATAATAATAATAATAATAATAATAATAATAATAATAATAATAATAATAATATTATATTCCCATGCCGACATCAGAACCTGCCTGGTTCTGTTTACATTTTATGATGAAAATGAGACAAATATAAATCATCTTTTTTCTGCCTGATGAATAAAAACCGTTTCAGATCCAAATGGTCTCATGTGAAACCAGCAGAACCTCCATGTTGGTTCTGATCGACTCGCTCAGATCAAAATGATCGACATGGAAATGAAATATTTGACGTTTTGCGTTTTGAGTCCCAGAGATAGAAATAAATCCTCAGGTTTTCCTCCTGCCTGGTTTCTGCAGGTTTTTATTCACTTCATTGAATCTGGAAGAATAAAACTCAGATGTTCAGATTCCTGTTTGTTTAAATGTTCTAACTTTTGATGAGCAGAAAAATGAAAATATTCCCACTTACTGGAATAAACCTGCAGTTTGGTTCCCTTCCCAAAGATAAGCTTGTTAGCGTTCACACAGCGACTGGAACCAGATCACAAACCGGCTGCAGGGAACGGCGATAAAAACTTTATATTAAAACGCAGACTGAAGATTTTATTTTTCATTTTCTGTTGAAATAAAATGTTTAAACTGAAGTTTGAGACGATAATTTAATGATTTCTGACTTGATTCCATAATTAACCAGAAAACATTAATAAAACTGATTAGTTTCAGTTTTTACAGTGCAGCGTTTCACTGTAAAACCTGCTGGATGGTTTTAGAGTTTACATTAATATTCACTATTTTCAATGATTCATTTTGATCCAGCTGCAAACGTGATCCGGTGTCCACAACCAGAACCGGGTTCTGACTGGGCCCGGTTCTGGTTGGACCCGGTTCTGGTTGGACCCGGTTCTGACTGGGCCCGGTTCGGGTTAAAATGTCTGCTTGTCTCTTTGTTACAGATTATTCTGTTAAATTTCTATAATTTATTATTTCTGATATTAAAAACTTTTGTAGCATCAAACAGGAAATATTATTTCTGACATGTTTTTACAGTAAATCAATAACCAATATCTGCTTATTGATCAGATTGGTAACTCAGTGAAATGAATTAATCTAATAATCTCAGATTATTGTCAAACTTTCTGGTTCTGCTTCATATTTTCTGCTGCAGATGTTTTAAATTCAATCAGTTTCTCTAAAACTGTTTTAAATCGACTGGTTCTGGTTCAACCCGGTTCTGGTTCTTCATGTCAACAGAACCTCTGGGACCAGAGCTGGAAGCTTACTGGGTTCAATGGTCAAACTGGTTCCAGGCCCAAAGACGATCCGGTACCGACCGGTTCCAGCAGCCACAGAACCGAGGACCAGAACCCAAACCCAAACGCTCTGCAGTCAGAACCAAATGTTCATTTTTCTCTGGTTCTGATTAAATTTATGATTATTGACAGAATAAAAATAAAATCTGGAGTTTTCACTGATCACCAATAACTGATCACCAATAACTGATCACTGATCACCAATAACTGATCACCAATAACTGATCACTGATCACCAATAACTGATCACCAATAACTGATCACCAATAGCTGCTGCCCATAACAAACCAAACCGATCCAAAGACTTACTGGGTTCGATGGTCAAACTGGTTCCGGTACCAAACAGGATCTTGTTCACACCAGTGTTCACACAGCAGGAGGATCCAGAACCAAAACCCAACCTGACAAACTGCAGCAGGTTCTGATCCAAACGATTCACATTAATTATGAGCTTTATTGATTATTTTATTACCTGGTAGAAAATTTTATGATTTTATTAAAAACATTTTTATCAATAATTTTATTTATTTCACTTATTTATGAATCTAATTCAGTAAAATTCAACATTAATCAGAACCGACTGGGTTCGATGGTCAAACTGGTTCCGGATCCAAACAGGATCTTGTATCCGGTTCCAGTCACACATCATGAAGCTCGGTACCAGAAACCCAGTTTGGACCAGCTGGTTCTGATATTTGGGTCATAAATTCAGCTTTTCTTTAATTTAATTTTTACGTCCGGTTCTGGACGGGAAGACGGCGCTACACTGTAAATAATAACTCCAACTTTAATTATTCATGTTTCTGATCTCCATCAGAACTTACTGGGTTCAATGGTTAAACTGGTTCCAGGTCCAAAGGTCAACCTGACAGAACCAGAATTCACACAGCATGAGGTTCAGTGGCACAAACCGGACCGGACCGGACTGACCCAACCGGATCGGATCGGACCGACCCAACTGGATCTGATTGGACCGACCCAACCGGACCGGACCGACCCACCCAACCCGACTCCAGTCCTGAGCTATTACTTTATCCACTTTAAAAATGTTTTATTTTTATATATTTTTAGCAAATCATAATTTTAGTCATTAAATTAAACTGCAGATTTTTTACAGTGTAAAGAATAAAATGTTTTAAAAACTCCCAGTTTGCCCAGTAACAACATCATCACTGGTTTTAAATAATCCTGAGTTTTCACTGAATCTAAATGTTTCTGAATTTATCATCATTAAAAGCTGAAACTCTGTGGATGTAAACCTGTTTTACTGGTTTTACTGGTTCCACTGGTTTCTAACCAACATGTGTCCTGTGGATCAGAACTTACTGGGTTCGATGGTCAAACTGGTTCCGGTACCAAAGATCATCTTAACTCCACCGGTTCCAGTCACACAGCCTGAATCTCCCCAACAAGAACCGGTTCTGACCGGATCTGACTGGTTCTGACCGGATCTGACCGGTTCTGACCAGATCGGCCGGTTCTGATCGTTGAAATATAAACTCTGTTCCATTCATTTTTGCCTGAAATCATTTTTATTTGGATTGTTAATTTGATGTTTTTTTATTAATTTGTTTTTGGTTTAAATTTAAATTTCATCTTAGATTTTTTACTTATTTTCCTTTTTGTCTGAGTTTTAGTTGGATTAAATCAAAAAAGAAGAAATAAAAGCTTTTATCTAGAGTTTATAAAGGTTTAGGGTGAGCGGAAACATTTAATGATCAGTAAATGTTTTTCTGAATAATCAGATAAAAACATAAAATCTTACTGGTTTTGATGGTTAAACTGGTTCCAGAACCAAAGATCATCTTGTTCCCAGTAAACACACAATATGAATCTCCTCAACAATAACCGAGCAGAACCAACCAGAACCAACCAGAACCAACCCGCTTTAAAAGAATCCAGTTTAACGTCTCAGGTTTAAACTGGTTTCCATTAATTATTTGATTTTTACTGGTTTTATTAAATTTACGTGTTTATTTTTCCATCAGCGGATCCAGAGAACCAGAACTGAAACTGTGTTGGTTCTGGAACTTTGGATCTGAATCGCCTACAACTGGAAACGTTTATTTATAACAGAAACACTAACTGGTTAAACTGGTTCTACTGGTTAAACTGGTTAAACTAGTTAAACTGGTTCTACTGGTTCTACTGGTTAAACTGGTTCTACCGGTTAAACTGGTTAAACTGGTTCTACTGGTTCTACTGGTTAAACTGGTTAAACTGGTTCTACTGGTTCTACTGGTTAAACTGGTTAAACTGGTTAAACTGGTTAAACTGGTTCTACTGGTTCTACTGGTTAAACTGGTTCTACTGGTTAAACTGGTTAAACTGGTTAATCTGGCTCTGCATCAATGACAGAATCACCAAACAGAACCCGACTCAGTAAAAGAACTTTTTGATCTAAAGTTTAGAAAGTTACTCCAGAACATTTAGGACCAGAACTGGAACCATTAAAGATCTGGATCAGAACTTACTGGGTTCAATGGTTAAACTGGTTCCAGAACCAAAGATCATCTTAAATCCACCATCAGTCACACAGCATGAAGGTCCAGAACCGTATCTGTGACGAACAGAACCAGAATCTACAGCAGAACCTCTGGTTACTGGGTCTAAACTGG